GCAGAGTGAGAGAGAGAGAACTAAGGTACTCAGTTTGCTTTCTGCCTACTTTGGCCGCATAACTAGCTTACAAACAACTGTGTAAATCAGTGAGTTTCAACCTTTTTCATCTCATGGCACAAAAACTGTTTACTAAAATTCTGCAGCACACCAAAAACACATTACTTTTTTGCAGATCTAACAAAAAAATAGGTATAATTTTGATTAATTTACAAAAAATAGTAATACCTACCATTTTGGACTTTTTAAAAAATCAGGTGCCTGGGGAGAGGGGGCGATAAGGGGACTAAATGGTAATGGAAAAAATATAATAAAAATTAAATTTTAAAAAATAATAATAAAATTAAAAATCAGGTGCTATACTTGTGTATAAGGATTTCTGGTACCAAGAATTAACCAATCAGATGCAACTTTATTATGTGAGAGTGACCAATAGGATGCAACTGACACCGGCATTCACACCAGACAGCTATTGTTGTGTTGGCTGTTGTCATTTTTTTATTAGACAATCTAAGGGAAAAGAGGTTAGTGCCCCGACTAAAAAATAGTCAGATACTGCATGTTTTAAAAATTACTGCAGCACACCAGTTGAAAATCACTGTCCTAGGGTGTCCATCTTAGAAAAGCAGAGAGACTGCTTGCCTCAACTCTGTCTTCCTCTTTTGTGAGGTTGTGCTTCGACTCTTTTGCTGTACACCTGAAACTAAAACAAAATGATATTGAATGTAAACTGTAATTAAAAATACAATTTAATAAGTAGATAAAATTTAAAAATAATAAAAAGGAAAACAATTAAAAATGACAAATTTGCCTTCCTTAAAACTTGTTTGATAACTTTGGAAAAATTTTTAAGTAATATTTATTTTTATTTAATTGTCTTGCTAAATTTCACTTGGAAGTTAAGGAAAATCCATCCCCTGCCATGTAACAAACGTAAGTTGATCCACTGACGGGAAAATGTTACTTGTGACACATACATGTAAATGATGAGTCTGTCTGTGTCTATCTTTGTAAAATAACTTTGACCTTAGATGTGATGTATTACAGATATTTGTCAGTCATGTTGCCCCTTCTTGGTGATATGCTGTATTTTTTCTGACTATAAGATGCACTTTCTCTTTTCTTCCCCTCCACTCCACCCCCCCAAACCACCCCCAAATTTGGGAGGAATAATGGTTGTTAATGCTGCTGTTGAGTTCTGTTCACATTTACATTGGTGAAATATTATGTTATTTATGTTATTAAATATTTTACCACATTTTTTGCTTCAAAAATTTTTTCCCTATTTTTCTCCTCTAAAACTTAGGCACATCTTATGGTCCAAAAACAATATGTACATCTTTGGGCAGCAGGAGGTCTGCTAATTAGACCGTGGAAATGTCTGAAACCAGGGAGACCCGATGGCGGAGACAGGCAGGAAGTCTCAGCAGAATCGGTCTTGCTGTCTGTGCACCTCCAGTTAGAGGTGTGTGACTGCCGGCAATGTGTACATCTGGCCCTGTGTGTCTCCTGAGGTAGGAACCCTGCACTTCTATTTTGTTCACTGTTACACCCTCAGGTACCATAGGGCACACAGTAGGCATCTTACCATTTGTTGAAAGAAAACACTGTTATCTGAAGAAATTCACCTCCAGCCTCATCAACGGTCCCATAGCCTCTCAGGTCTGTGAGACTAACAATCATCCAGCCCCACTCCTCTCTGCTTGGACCTGCTCTGTCAACCAGAGGAAACGAGAACGCTGTCCTGACTTTTCCCCCTTCGCTTCCTTATCAAAACTTGAAGTTCTGGTCATTTGCATCTTCTCTATTTGCCCCCTTTCATGACCCTAGGAGAACTTGTGCCCTTTACTCTATCACCTTAGTTTCAGGTTTGGGGCTATTCTGTGGATTATTAGGTAGGTTTACCTGTCAGCAAACCCCCTGAGCACGGCTCCCGTCACCAGTGTCAGCCAGGGAGCAGGGACGCCTCCATCAAATGGGCTTTAGTCCAGTCCAGCTGTGCCCTGCTCTCCTCACTTCAGGTGTGTGCAGAAGGCAACCAATCAATGTTTCTCTCTCACATTGATGTTTCACCCCCTCTCTCCCTCCCTCTCCTCTCTGTAAAATCAATGAAGGTAGGGATTGGAAAAAAAAAAAAGATGCTGTGATAGAACCAGGTGCTGGGAGCTTCTAAGACAGAAGTGGGTGAGAGCATTTCAGGTGCAGGTCACTGAAATGTACCTCCTTTTCGGCTGCTTCAGTGCTGGTGATTCAGACTCCCAACAGAGCAAGCGGTCCAAGCTGGTTGAAGGAGATTGGAGAGGACATCGGGGTAACAGTGAAAAAGCAAGCTGGGGCCTGGAAATGCTGGTTTGAAAAGCGTACACATAATTCACTGGACATGGGCACCGTTGAGGGTTTTGACCAGAGGAGTGATGAGATCAGAGATGCATGTTGGGTAATACATAGATGTTATTTGTGTACTGTTTCCAATGGCAGTTTCATACTGTTCCACACATTTTCTCTCTCCCCAGGCTCTTTGTGAGCTGAAATGAGGTTTTACTCCTAAACCTAAGTATAACAAATTAGTCCATTTTCTACTTTGGGAGGGTTCACTGGTGATATGTTTTATCCAGTAATCTGACAGCCACAATGATGACCCTTGCTGTGCATACCGCACATCCCAGAGGAACCCAAAGCACCTGTCTTCACCTGTTCTCACTTCCCAGCAGAAAGATGGGAAGTGCACCCACTTACGTGCCAGCTTATGCTCGGGAGATTTGAGCCCTTGCCTTAAGAGAGCAGCAGCTGTCGTGACTTTCTGCTGAAAAAGCCCAGGAGGACTTAAAGTCACCGAACCACTCACTCATCCATGCCCCCTGAACTCCTGCATGCTTTTCTCCACACAAGTCTGGCCATGTCATGCAAAAAACCTGAAATACTGCCCTGGCTGGCGTAGCTCAGTGGATTGAGCGCGGGCTGCAAACCAAAGAGTCACAGGTTCGATTCCCAGTCAGGGTATATGCCTGGGTTGCAGGCCACAGCCCCCAGCAACCGCACATTGATGTTTCTCTCTCTCTCTCTCCCTCCCTCCCTTCCCTCTCTAAAAATAAATAAATAAATCTTTAAAAATGTTTAAAAATATATATAAAGAAAAAAAAACCCTGAAATACTTTGAAATAAATGCTCAGCTGGTTTAAGTTCAGGGTGCAAATTTAACATCAAATTCTGAAGAGCGTCCTCTGACCTCAGCCCTTAGGTTTGATGAGGCTACCGGCTCTAAAGAGGACGACTCTGACCATGGGACCCAGTGAGACTGTGCGGGTGATGTTCACACAAGCCCTTGGAGTGCCCTTGTCTATACAGAGCTGAGGTGTGGTCACTCATTGCCTCTCACTGCCCCAGACAGAAAACTCCACTACTGTACCCTGCTGAGTGTGGGTCTGTCAGTGATTGTGATGGAGAGACTTAGCCATGAACTCAAAAAGCCAAAGTCTGTGATGGTCACTGAGAATGAGTGAGAGGAGCAAGACTGGCTGTGCTACATCCACCTGCGGGGACATCAGGTCACAGAAGGACACAGCCCCGATGCCTTCTCCTTACACACACACAGCCACACAAACACTCACACTGCTGCAGTGAGGAAGGGAAAGAACTGCAAAGACGGAAACCTCTTGTTAATGGCAAATATTTCTCAGTTGGGGGAGGGCATCTTCTTTTGTTCATATGAAAAAATTGGCGGGTGCTGCGTAGAGGGAAGCAAAGGGGGAAAGCTTGGGACAACTGTAATAGCATAATCAATAAAATATAATTTATACATTTTATTTACTAATGAGCATTACTTATCTTCATCTAAAAACTTTAAAAACTGGCCCTGGCTGGCGTAGCTCAGTGGATTGAGCGCGGGCTGCAAACTAAAGTGTCGCAGGTTCAATTCCCAATCAGGGTACATGCCTGGGTTGCAGGCCATGACCCCTAGCAACCGCACATTGATGTTTCTCTCTCTCTCTCTATCTTCCTCCCTTCCCTCTCTAAAAATAAATAAATAAAATCTTAAAAAAAAACTTTAAAAACTATATATTTTATTATTTAATACATTGGTATTTTTAAAAACATCTGATTTTAATATTTTTATAATATGTACTTTAGAAGAATTGAAACTCGACACATGCAGGAAAAGAAAGATTTCAAAGGAATCACAGAGACCCAGGCATTTCCCTTGGTTTCCAGCTCTTCCGTCATCATATCAAAGTGATCCCAGTCCCAAGGTAGTGAAAATAATATTGGGGCTTCCTTTCTTCCATGTAATATTTTCCTCTTCAAAATCTTTTCTCTTAATAAAAGTTCTTTTTATTAAAACTAAAAAATGGAGGATCAGTCTCCTCATCCATTATGTAGTCAGACATAGAAGACCACATATGCTATAATATGATTCCATTTACATGAAAAACCTACAAGGTGCCCTGGCCAGTTACCTCAGGTGTTTAGAGTGTCATCCTGTTCTGCCAAGGTTGTGGGTTCGATCCCTGGTCAGGGCACATACAAGGAATAAATAGTGGAACAATAAATTGATGTCTCTCTCTCTCTCCCTCTCTCTCTCCCCCTTCCTCTCTCTCCCTAAAATCAATAAATGACAAAAAAAAATGTTTTAAATCCATAATAGGTCAATCTATGGAGGCAGAAACAGATTAGTGGTTGACAGGAGCTGAGTGGAGAGGACGAGGAGTGACTAACTGATCTGTCCTAGAGGAGAATGTGCTGGAACTGGAGAGTGGTTGTGATGTGCTGTGACGGTTGGGAAAAACTGTGAATGTACTTAATGCTGCTGGAATGTACACTTTGAAAAGGCATACTTAAATAAAATGTATTTATTTATTGCATTTAAATTAATTTTATTTTATTAACAGTTTTTGAGATTTTATTTAAAATACATTTTAGTTTAACTGAGCACTACAAAAATTACAGCACAACTCTGAGTAAAATGTAAGATAAACACAAAAATGTGAAAACTGCAGTTAAGAGGGACCCTCTCTGCTGTGGCAGCTGACACCGGCTCAGACCTGGGGCCAGAGGCCTCGCGGGAGCGGAGGCGAGTTGCTCCCGTGCTGCATGGGTTCTTCCGCGCCCCCCGCAGGTCAGGGAGGGCCAAGCCTGGAGCCTGCTCTGGCCCTGGAGAGGCCACTGGAGTTTGCGTTACCCCTTGAGGCGTATCTTGATCTGCTTTAGGAGCTGGTTCTGTAGATCCAAAAAGAGAACATTAGCCCTGGCTGGTGTAGCTCAGTGGATTGAGTGCGGGCTGCAAACCAAAGCATCACAGGTTCGATTCCCAGTCAGGGTACATGCCTGGGTTGCAGGCCACGGCCCCCAGCAACCGCACATTGACGTTTCTCTCTCTCTCTCTCTATCTCCCTCCCTTCTCTAAAAATAAATAAATAAAATCTTTAAAAAAAGAGAGAGAACATTATCACTATGACTACTTCCATGTGCCTTCTAAAGAAATCAACTCTCACCCTGGCCGTGTGGTTCAGCTGGTTGGAATGTTGTTCTGTGCACTGAAAGGCTGCTGTTTGATCCAGGTCAGGGTACCTGCCTAGGTTGCAGTGTTGGTGTTTCTCTCTCTCTCTCTCTCTCTCTCTCTCTCTCTCTCTCTCTCTCTCTCTCTCTCTCACTGTGTCTAAGAACCATGGAGATCTAAGCCAACTCTTTGCTCCTGGCCTACCCACCCTCTCTATCTGAAAGGAGAATCTAGACCTCTAGGTAAGCCAACAGAAAATTCTGCTCCAGGATACGGGAGATGGTCCTGGGTTCCACACTGCCCCACCCCCACCCCCAGAGCATCCCTGGGGAGTGTGGGGACCTGTGCCTCCTACTGCTGCCCATGGAGAGTCAGTCCTACCCCTTGTCCACCTGGCAGTCCTGGCAGGTACGCCTGGCCACCAAAGAGGGGCTGGCAGAAGCCTCCACAACTGAGAGCTCTTGGTCAATGGTGTGACCACCTGTCCCCTCTTCAGGGAAGTCTGGCATGCTCTGTCAGTGTCCCTGCCCCCTTCCCACTGGAATGTCAGCTCCATGAGGCCAGAGGGGTGGTGTCTGCTCTGTTCATTGCACTCAACTGAGGGCCCTCGTAACACCCCAGACTCTAACTCCTGCACCCACGTGCTACTGACTCACTAGGTGTTCTGTGTGCTTCTTCTCCCCCCCACTGACACTCCTCCCAAGGGCAGGGAGCACCAGCCAAGCACCCACTGTTGGGGTTCTACCACATTAGTGAGCAGGATGCTCCCCCACACCCCAGTTCTGGGTCCCAGGTTGGGGGAGTGGATGCAGGGCTAGGATGGGGAGGAGAGAGGTGTGGATTTTCTTAGGGGCTGACTATGTCCGCTGTTCTCCCCAGGACTCTCCCACGCCCCAAATCCACGTGCGAAGCTCTCATTGTCTCCTTCCCTTTTTTGTAGGTGAAGTCCTCAGACCCTCTCGCAGAAATCCCATGATGTGTGGGAGGCAGGGTCCTGCCAGCACCTCCAGTTCACAGTCCCTTCATTGTCGTGACTCCAAGCCCACTCACTTTTTCAGCTGCTCCACAGGTCCACCGTCCTCTTCAACATACGGGCACATGCACCCATACCTGGGGGAGGCCAGGAGGACATCACATCGACTGTCCTGTGGGCTCTACCTGCCCGTGAGGTCTAGTGTGAGTGCCTCACGCCCGACTAGAAGGAAGCTCTGGGAAGCAGGGTGGTTGCCTGCTCCATGCTCTGGACTAGGGTCAGTGCCCAGAAACATGCCTGCTCCTGGGGCCTTCCGATGTGTTCGCTGAATGAATGAGCCCCAGCCAGGCCCATGACAGCTACCTCAGCCTGAGGCCCCACTGCTCTGCCCTGGATTCCCACTCTGGGGCCCCTAATGGAGTCTGCAATCTCCTTTTCAAACGAGAAAACGGCTCAGCTCAACCTGCAGGCCCAGACTGAGGCATGAGGCAGAGGCTTCGTCATGAGGAGGAGAAAATGACCAGTCAGCACAACCACAGCCCCTCCGTCAGACCTCTCCAATGGCCAGGCACCCAGAGAGCACTTTACAGGGAGGACCCCGCCGAGCCCCCACAATAACCCTGTGGGGCTGGTCCTGGGTCCACCTGCTGCTCAGAGGAGCGCACAGACTCAGATGCAGTGACCCGAAGACTCGCAGCTAGCGGGTGGCCGGACGACCACTGTGCTGTGGAGGGGTGGGGTGCTCACCTTGTAAACAGTCGGCCCAACACCTGTTGGGAGGTGGCAAAAGTTCTGTGTGTCCAGACAAAGGTGGGGACGAAGGTGGGGCCCCTGCCCAGGGAGATGGGCACCAGGTGCTCAGCCAGTGTGTCCAGCCAGGGTGCCTGGGTGGTCTGCACCACACAGATCTTACTTGTACCCACAGTCGGTGCTTTCCTCCTGGGGTGGGACAGAGGGGGACATGCAGTCAAAAGCGGCTTCGTGAACCACCCGGTGGGTTGGCAGCTGCAACTCAGACCTAACCAACGGCCCTCAGTGACTGCTGGCAAGAGGCAGGACACAAATGCTCACAGGACAGAAGAGGCTGTTGGCAGGAAAAGCAGAACTGGAGGTGGGGAGTGATGAAACACATTAGTATCTCAGGTCACGTTTCGTTAGCTGAGGATGGACGCCCCTCCCTGTATCTGCAGTGTGGTCCTGTGATTTCTGACAAAACAGCCCATTCTCGGTGAGAACGGAGGCTCTTCCTGGGCTGGGAGGGGTCAGGAATTTAGGACAAGTGGGATGTTTGGGGCAGCACCACTGAAATGGCAACAGAAGGGGATCAGGTCCACATTCCACAGCAGGGAGGGGCTGGATCGCCGTGGTAACTGGTCCCCCTCAAAATGTGTTGTAGAGCCCAGGGAGGCCCCAGCTCCTGGCCTGGAGGGGCCTTGGGGATGTGTTCCTCCAGGGCAGAAAATGCAGAGCGACACCCATGGTAGCAGGAGCCCCGTGTCCTTGGGGGAAAGCATCCCTGCTGATCACGGCGACGTGTGAGACCGAGAGAGTGAAGGACGGTCAGGCCACCACGGACACGCATGGGCATTAGAACAGGAAAATCTGTAGAAAAATGCAGAAGTACTCTCAACTGAGCATGAGGTGAAATGGTACAAAAGCCTCCTTTCTGACATTCCTGCAAATGTGCAGACAGTGACTTTGCATCTGGCCGGGAAGGGGCTGGACGGTGAGGGTGGGCTGGGGTATGAGATGGGGACTCAGGTGTCGTTGGGGCAGGACTCTAGGAAGGAGCTCAGGGGAGTAGCAGGGTGACTTCTGGAACCTGGGGCCCCTCCGACCTCATGGGCTCTGGGGGTGGGTCATCTGGGCCCGGCACTCACCTGGAGCCCCCGCTGCACTCTTTTGGCAGTGTGTGTGTGGGGGGCCGGGGGTGGAGCTGAGGACTCCATGGGTCAGCTCCTGTCCAGCCCCCTGTGTGGAGCTCTGTAAGGACAGTGCCAGCTGCCAGTGGGAAAGCCTCAGGGCCCGCTTTGCTGGTTCTCAGACCTCTGTGACTCTCCCGATGCCAAACACACAACCACGTTTTGCTCAGATCTCCACTGTGGATGGAAAAGACGTGACAGCCTGAGGGACTAGGAGTCTCGTTGGCTCAGATAAGAAGCCCCTCAGAAAGCCCCCCTCCACCCTCCAGCCCCGTCCTGGGGTATGATCATGACCAGATCGCTAGGTAATCCCCCACCCAGCAGCCTGTTCCTGTCCCAGGGCTGGGGGGGGTGGGGGGGGTGCGAGCAGTCCTCCCTTCAGATCCCTCTTCTCCCACGTAAGAGGAGGGTATGGGGGCTGCCAGGGGTGGCGCACAGAGGCAGCCGCGCCTGACTTGGCCTGACCCAGGCTGCCTTGTGTTATCGTAAGGGATCTGCTGGAAAGTGGCCCCAGATGTCAGGGATGAGGGTTGTTGACCCAACATCTGTGGTTTGGAAAATTCTCGCTGCAGGGTTTCCAGAAGCAAGAGCCCCGATGCGTGGGGACACAGCAAGAGAACATCTGAAACTGTCACGTGTCTCTTGCCAAGTGAGCTGGCTACGGCGACATCACTAGAGTGTGGGTTCCTGGTTACAGGGATTCCAAGTTCTGTTGGGCAGTGACTTCACTTCCTGAGATCCCCTTACCTGTGTCCCCTCCTCGAAAAACAGACATCTGAATAGTCCCCGGGGCCCTGGCCGGTGATATCACCAGTGAGAGGAGTCCCAGCCCCACAGCAGGCCCCCCAGCCCAGGGTTCCAGTGCCAGGGAGATAAGTCCCACAGCTTCTGGATGCAAAAACCAGCAGAGATTGAATCAGTGGAAGACACTGCTAGAACCCCAAGCAGTTCCTTTTAAAGAACTGACACACAGACTCTCTTACTCAGACTCACTCCCTCTGAGCTCCAGCACCAGGGCAGCAGCTTGAAAGGCACCAGTGGTGTACAGGGAGGAACTGAAGTGTCTGGTATCAAGGTGAGCAGAGGCCATTGTTCCTTTTCTAAAACCCCCTGCCACAGAGCTGCCAAGCTGGTGCCATAGCCGAGACTCCACCAATCTGACTAACACTGTATGACTCCACTGGAGATCCCCAGAGACTCCACCCCACCCAACTTATGGGCCCACCCAAGCTGCTTTTCCATATAAGTAGCTGGTCTTGGCTTGCAGTGCACAACTTTCTAAATCCTCTTAAACAAGAAACAGCTGGCCTCAGTGAGTCTCAGGCCCAGCACTAGCAGCAGCCAGCCTACATTCACAGCTTGTTCACCTGGGAATCTCCAAGCCCAGCACAAGTAGCAACCATCTCAGTTTGCTTTCTAGCTCAGGCCAGTTGGCCCTGGGCAAAACACAGGTTGGGGCTGACCATGGCCTGTGCCACACAGAAAACCTCAGGGCCAGCGCACCCACTGGACAACTACAGACCATGTCAGAACACCACCACCCTGCCCATGCACAGCTGATCCTCCACGGAGAACAGAGGTTAGTGCTAAATGGTCACAGCCAGTCCTTGAAGCTGACTGGTCTGGGTAAATCCCTCCCACTAATCTGCAAATAGCAACCAAAGCTCAACTGCAAGAGGAGGGTATACTCAGCCCACACAAAGGGCATACCTCGAGTACCCAGCTTGGGTGATAGGGTAGGCAGTGCCACTGGACCCTACAGGACACCTACTACATTAGGCCACACTACCAAGACATGAAATCAAAGCAGCTCTACCTAATAAATAGAATCAAACACAGGGAGACAAAGAAACATAGCCCAAATGAAAGAACAGATCAAAACTCCAGAAGAACTAAATGAAATGAAGATAAGCAATCTATCAGATGCAGAGTTCAAAACATGGATGGTCCTAGTGAGGACCTCAGCAGCATAAAAAAGGTCCAGTCAGAAAGGAAGAATACACAGAAAGGAAGAATACAGAAAGGAAGAATTTACAGGGAAACAACAGTAGAGTGGATGAAGCTGAGAATCAAATCAATGACTTGGAACATAAGAAAACGAAAAACAACCAGTCAGAACAACAAGAAGAAAAAAGAATACAAAAAAATGAGGATGGGATAAGCAGCCTCTGTGACAACTTCAAGAGGTCCAACATTTGAATCATAGGGGTGCCAGAAAGAGAAGAGAAACAGCAAGAAATCAGAAATCTATTTGAAAAGATAATGGAAGAAAATTTCCCTTATTTGGTGAAGGAAATAGACATGCAAGTCCAGGAAGCACAGAGAGTCCCAAACAAGATGGATACAAACAGGCCCACTCCAAGACACATCATAATCAAAATGCCAAAGGTTAAAGTTAAAGAGAGCATCTTAAAAGCAGCAAGAGAAAAGCAGTTAGTTACATACAGGGGAGTTCCCATAAGACTGTCAGCTGATTTCTCAAAAGAAACTTTGTAGGCTAGAAGGGACTGGCAAGAAACATTCAAAGTCATGAAAAGCGGGGACCTTCAGCCAAGGTTACTCTACCCAGCAAAGCTATTATTTAGAATGGAAGGGCAGATAAAGAGCTACCCAGACAAGGTAAAGCTAAAGGAGTTCATCATCACCAAGCCCTTATTATATGAAATGTTAAAGGGGCTTATCTGAGAAAAAGAAGATCAAAACTATGAATAATAAAATGGCAATAAATACTTCTATCAACAACTGAATCTAAAATCAAACTAAGCAAACAAGAAGAACAGAGACAGAATAATGGATACAGAGAATACTTTGATGGTTGCCATATGGGAGGGAGGTGTGGGGAAATGGGTGAAGAGGTGAGGGGATTAAGAAGTACAAACAGGTAGTTACAGAATAACCATGGGGATGTAAAGTACAACATAGGAAATGCAGCAGCCAAAGAATTTATACACCTGACCCATGGACATGAACAAGGTATGAGAACAACCTGAGCGAGTGGGGGATTCTGGTGGCGAAGGGCAAATGGGGGAAAATCAGGACAACTATAATAGCATGATCAATAAAACATAATTTTAAAAAATGGTCCCCGGGGCTGCTGGCTGCTCGCCCACCTTCTCTGTGGGATACCATATCTGCACCCAGTGACACCCACACACCCCACTCCACGCCCTCTAGCAGGTCTGGGGACAGTCAGGGTCCCAGATTTGAGGACAGAGACTTGGGCTCAGACTCAACTCCTCATTCCTCCCTCTTCTGGATCCTGGATGGGCCACTGTGCGTGTCGGGGCCGGTCCCTCTCCCACCTGCACAATGGGACTATTCTAGCACGTGCATCTCAGGGACGTTTGGGCACAGGTGGGACAATAGCTGTGAAGCTGGAGGAGTGCTGTCACGTGTACTAGTGCTGCCAACCCCTTGTTTCCTCCTCTGGTCACCGCCTCCGTGTCTGCTCCTCTTAGTATCCCTCCCACAGTCATTACGCCTAGAGTATGTGTGTGTGTGTGTGTGTGTGTGCACACGCACGTGTGCCAGTGTTCACAACTGGATCCCAGAAGAAAGCGGCCCCACATAGGCAGGAGAAGGCAAGAGCTTCCCAATACGTTAGGATCTCTAACTTCCAAACCAACTACCTCTATGGGAGCAGTTGGAGCCTTGGCCTGGAAGGTCAGAATACTCTTGAACTTTGGCCAGTACTCTAGCCAGTCCCTGACTCCCTATGGGCCTCAGCTTGCCAATTAACAAGTGAGGGTGAAATTCAGAACTTCATAAGCATGAGCTCAGCATAAAGGGAGCCAGGGCTCCCCCCATGCTGGGTGAGCTGAGGAGAGAGTTGCTGTTTGGTGGTCCCCAACCTGGGCTCTCCTCTGACAAGGACTGGCCAAGGCCCGACCAGGCTGCCAAATGCTCACCCTCTCCCCTGTGCCATCTCCATGTCTGCGGACGGTCACACCAGCACAGCCTGCTCCAGAGCCCCTGAGAGAGCCTGGGTCCAGCCAAGACCCCAACTCCGAGGACACAGAGCTGGGCTCATCCCTGACTCTGCATCCAGACCGGTCTGTGATTCTGGGCAAAGCACAGACCTCTGAGAAACTTGCAGTTCTCCTCTCAGTGTCTCCCCACGATCCCCAGCTCCTGGTGGGCATGTCTTTGCGTAGTGTGGATGTGCGCCCTCCTTGTAAGTGTGGACTGCATTGGTGACTCCTTAGAAGATGGCAAAGTGACCCAAGGTCACTTCCAAGATTTGGTTATAAAAAGTCAGTGCCTAACCCCTTGCTCAGTCTGACCTGTGTTCTCTGTCTCTCTCTCACACACACACAGTTCCCTCACTCTGGGGATTAAGCCTCTGTCTTATAAATTGCTACCGGGAGAGACCCACGTGGCCTAACACCAAAAGAGAGAATCAGACAAAGAGGAAGTCATGTTCTCCACTCAAAGTCAGTCCCACCAAGACCCCTGAGTGGCTCAGGTCCTGAGTGCAGCAGATCCTGCCTCAGGTGAGACCACAGCCCCAGCCTCCCGAGAGTCACTGGCAGAAGCACTCAGCTGAGCCACACTGGGTCCCTCGTCCAGGAAACCATGAGATAATGAGTGTTTGCTGGTTATGTCAGTGCGTGTGGGGCAGTGTTGTCTCACAGCAGTAGACCACTAGTTCAGTTGTCTCTGAGCCAGGCCCTGGACCTGTCCTCCTCCCTCCCTCCACCTCCTCCCAGGATCCCCCCAGCCACACCGACCTCCTTTCTAACCTCCTCTCTGTCCCGACTCCTTCTGCCTCCAAGTGTCTGCACAGCTGTGCTTTCTGCCAGGCTGCACACGCCTGAGTGTGTGCAGGCTGGCTCCTCCTGGCCATGCTGCTGGGAACAGAAACGTCAGCTCAGTGCAGATTGTTAGCCCTTCACCCAGTGCCCTCCAGGCCTCCTTGTAGCACCTGCTCTGTTCCCACATAGAAGTTATTCTTTCTTTTTGCATGTTTTTGTTTTCATAGTTGTATTCACCTTTCCCTCCAGACTGTGAGCTTTTCGAGGGAAGAAAACCTGTTGGTATTTTGTAGCACAGTTTGAGCACACAGGGCACAGCGGCTGAGTGAACAGATAGAGGGATCCATCTACCACTGACCACCTCAGCTGTACAGTTAAATTAGGTTGGTCATTTATATGGACTAGATTGATAACTCCTGAAGCTAATCTTATGATTCAAACCTTTTGTGGTTATTAAATTATGCTAAATTACTAAATAATCCCCCCCAAATTCCATAGCACATCACTATACATTTTTCCCACATAACAAGATTGGAGAGATGTACTCCTTCACGTGCTCATTTGGAACCCAGAGATGGTCCTTCAAGTGCCTTCTCCATCCCCAGGATGTCACCCCCATCTGCTTCCACCAGCCTGAGGGCACAGCACTCAGAGGAATGCATGGTGGGGGGTTGTGGCAGCCGGGTCTGCAATAGCGCTCGGTGGCGGTTCCTGTCCTCTTCCACTGTCAATGACAGGGTCATATTGCCTCAAAGGTGACTAAAAATACCATCCAGTTGTGTGCCCCAAAATGGGACAATGGATTTTGAGGGACAGTAAAGTTCCCTGGCACAATGAGGAACTCATTTAGAAGGACTGGGCTTTTCAAGTCTGTACTGAGTTTTCCCCATGTGCCAAGCGCTGTGCCGACCGCTGGGTGGAGACCTGGCTGAGCAGCGGCTCGGGCTGGGGGAAGCTCCTGGTCTGAGGAAGGAACTAACACGTGGCACGAAGTGCCCAGCAGCTTGAAGTGAATGTGCCCTGGAAGTTTGATTAATAATTCTAGTTTTGGAGCTTATAGTAACTGAACTCCACTTTCAGGGATAAACAAGATATGGTGCGCCGAGGAAGACAGCAGCAGGAATTGTAGAAGCAGGTCAGTTGTGTACAACACATAATAAGAAATACTATGGAGCCATGAAACTTATGGATTCAAAAATATTAAAGGGAAAGGATAACCATTCATGTTAAATTAAAAGTGACTGGGAGCCCCTGGCTAGCATAGCTCAGTGGATTGAGCGCGGGCTGGGAACCAAAGTGTCCCAGGTTTGATTCCCAGCCAGGGTACATTCCTGGGTTGCAGGCCATAACCCCCAGCAACCGCACATTGATGTCTCTCTCTCTCTCTCTCTCTCTCCCTCTCTCTCTCTCCCTCTCTCTCTCTCCCCCTCTCTTCCCTCCCTAAAAATAAATAAATAAAATCTTTTTTTAAAAAAAGTGACTGGGAATATAAGGCGACCTCATTTTTGGACTAACTCTATGTCTAGATGAAAGCATGCAAATATGTTGAGGGGTAGTTTTCTGATTTTCTAAAATGTTTTTGTTTAATCAGAAGGCTTCCATCAATATGCTTTGGTTTCATGTACTGTTAGCTTCAACCTGACATAAAGCACTGTAATGTAAACCAGTTATCACCACACTTCTCCACCTGCCCCTGTGCAGGTCCATAGGCTTTGACCTGCTCTGTATTTTCTGTTCTACAACTCAAAGCCTGATTCAGGAGCTCAATTCACACTCTCTGAAATACAGAACTTAGGATGAGGACTATATTGTCCTGTAATGACAGGACAATAACTCCTACTACAAGGCACCCTGAAACATTGACTCTTACAGAATTCATTCTGGTCTAACCGCAAACCTGGGAAAGGGTCTCAGTTTGCTGTGTAATCTTTTATTGCTGAGGGAATGGTGAATTCCATAACACAAATGCCATGACTCACCTGGCCACCAGAGGGCAGTACATGGCTGCTCATGCCTATGACATTGACCCTCTTAAATTTTGCCAAACTCAACTTCTTCAAAACAAGACCACTAGCAACAAGACAGTCATATTTCCTCAAGGGTGGCTGGGAAACATATGCTGTCTACAAAAGACCCAACTCAACTTGAAAGACACACACAGACTCAGGTTAAGAAATAGAAAAAGATATCTAACGCAAATGGAAACCAAAAAAAGTTGTGATTTCAATACTCATATTAGACAAAATAGTCTTTAAAACAAAAGCTGTAATAAGATATAAAGAAGGATATTACATAATGACAAAGAAATCAATCCAACAAGAGGATAAAACTCCTGTAAACATTTATGCAAATGTACATATAAGCAAATATATAAAGCAAATATTGATGGGCATAAATGGAAAGATTGACAGAAATACTATTATAGCAGGGGACTTTAACACCCCATTGACACCAGTGGATAAATCTTCCAGACAGAAAATCAAAAGGGAAACAGCAGTCTTAAATGACACATTAGACCAGATGGATTTCATTGATATTCTCAGTGCATTTCACTGCAAAGCACAAGAATATATATTCCTTTCAAGTGAACATGAAACATTTTCCAGGATAGACCACATGTTAGACCACAAAACAAGCCTCAATAAATTTAAGAAGATTGAAAACATATCAAGCATCTTCTCTGACCACAATACTATTAAACTAGAAATCAATTACAAGAAAAAAATTGAAAAACATGCAACTACATGAAGGCTAAATAATTGAAAAAAATTTTAATCAGTCTTTTATAAAAAGGAGGTGGGTCAAGGATGTCATTAGAAAAGAAAAATGGAAATTTATTGGGAGGTGGCAATGGCTTCTTATTGGCTGAGTTGTACTTTTCCCATTGGCTGGGCTTGTTGCTGGGCTAGAAGAAAATCATCCTTCCCCCTTCAGGGTGGTAGTCAGACACTTTTCATTTGCAGATGCAAAGTCTCATCTATTCCTGTTTGGGTTAGTTGACAATGAGTAGTAGGGTAAGAGAGCTCCCTCCAGAGACAGTCCAGACTCCAATTATATTTGAAATTTCCTTTATTAGTTTTCACAGTTCATTGCTTTCATCTGATTCATGATCTTAAAAGCCTTAACTAAGAGGGTTAAGAACCCATGACCTATTCAGTACAAAGTTCTGTGAAAGTAAAGAGTTCATGTGAGCTCTGGCCAGATACCTCAGTTGGTTAGAGCTTCACTTCTATATGCCAAGGTTGCAGTTGGGGCACATACAAAAAAGCAACCAATGAATGCATAAATAAGTGGAGCAACAAATCGGTTTCTCTCTCTCAAATCAATATTTTTTTTTAAAAATCAACCATTTATTGATGCAAATGGAATGCATCGATAAGTGGAACAATAAATCATTTCTCTCTCCCCGTGGGACACGGGGTGCAGGGGTGGAGATTGGTAGGGTGGGTTGTCAACCAAAATTCTAGTGTTCGTTAGTGCAGCATTATGGGGCTGCAAATGCAGTAGCAACTCTTTGTAAGGAAATGAAGTACATACGGGAAATAAGGAACACTAAGAGAATTTGAGCATACAATTCAGCTTCTGTAATACAGCTGCTGAGGTTTCCAGGCACCCCGTCATGAGGACACTGAGCCTGTTGGCAGGTTTGTTGTGAGTGCTTGCATATATGTGGGGGAGGGGGGTCAACATGTTTTTCATGAAAAAGGGAGTTACGTGAGCTTACAGCAAATTGCCATTACTACATAATTTTCCAGTTTTTTTTATTATCCACTGGTTCTTTCCTTCCAGTAGCTCTTACAACCGAAGGCAAAAGTGAAACCCGACAGGAGAGAGCAAAAGAAAAGGAAGCTCCAAAGGCAGCCAGGCTTTCGTCCTGCGGTCCCTTTAAGAGAAGAACCTCTTGGGACCGGCAGTCCCAACCGACCCCAGTTTTAACCGAAACCTAACCCGGACTTCCCCCTCTTGACTCAAATAAGACCAACTTTGGATTTTCCCTCCCCTGTTGACCAATCAAATTCTGTTACCAGGCAGACTTTTTCTGCCGCCTGTGAGAGCGCGGCGCCTTCTGTCTCCTGGTGGCAGCAACGACCAATGAGAGAGCAGGCCGTCGGAGTATCTAGGCAGATCGGGGCTGCTCCAGCCATTCAGAAAAAAGAAAATAAAGCAACGCACTAGCCCGCCGGGCCGGGACCGTGGGGCTGGGCTGGAGCGAAGGTGGCTACGAGGTAGTTTCTCTTTCTCCCTTACCTTTATTGTTGCTTGTGTGGGAAGGCGACTGTTCAAAGGTGGGAGGGGGCAATATGAGTTGGGAGGAGAGCAGAAAAAGATTTTAGCTATATTTTCAACAGCTTCTTCACCCATGTGCACGTGCCCCGAATCTGGGACCTCATTTCCCCAACGGGGTTCCCTATGTCCAGCCCAGGAGTTCCGCTGCCCCGAACCCCCTACTTCGCAGCAACCCGGGATTGAATAGAGGGGGAAGGGCGGGAGGTGGGGGCGCGCATCCGGATGGGATGTTGAGGGAGATGACGTAGGGGCCGGCGACATGGGGAGGGGGAGCGGCGGGGGAAGCGGTGGCAAGATTAAGTAATGAGAACTTGGGCCCAGTTTTTTCCAAACCCAGAAGGGCAGAACATGTTCGTATCTTTTCTGACCTGCCAGGCAAATTCGATGGTGAGCCTATATCAGAGAATTAGATAACTTTGTTTTGTGGTGGTTGTTGTTTTTGAGGGAGAAGAGGGTAGTATGAGGTCAGAATCAGAAATGAAAATTTCTTACGTGGATTCCTAATTCCCCTATCTCTTCCTTTACAGTTTTCCACATATAGGAGACTGCAGGAAGGTGGGGCAAATAGACTGGAGATGGCAAAGATCTTTTGGGGTATATATGGGCCTGGAAAAGTAATGGAATAATTTGTAATTTTTGGAGAAGGCACGTGGTGAGAAAAAGCATTGGAGAAATTCGGAAGCTTTCTTTCTGTTTCTGTTTCTCTTTCTGGGTAGAGAGATGAGTGTGCTGGGGTCTCTAGGGGAAAAGAAGTTAAATCTTCATGTCCTGTCTCCTGTCAACTCTAGCCCTCATGCCAGGATGGCAGAAGATGAACCTGATGCTAAGAGCCCAAAGACTACAGGAAGGGCCCCCTCAGGTAGTGCTGAGGCAGGGGAACCTACCACCCTTCTTCAGAGGCTCCGGGGTACCATTTCGTAAGTACTCTTGACCACCTCCAAATCTTGTTGAACACCTGGGTATAGATCCCTGTAGTGCCTCACTCCCTCTGTGGATGAACTGCCTCTCCCTGAGCAAGTGCATCTGACCAGGGGGAGATTCTTCACATGGTAGCAATTCATGAGCACCTGCCAGACATTTGAGTCTTCTTCCTCTCCCTAGCAGTCAGACACAGAATGGGGAAAAATCTTGTGTCTGACCTTCAGCTTTCTCCTCTTCTCCACAGTAAGGCCGTGCAGAACAAAGTAGAGGGAATCTTGGTAAGTATTTTGGGGAGGAGGGCAATAGAGAGATTGAATTAGTGAGGGATGAGGACAGTGAGGACATGAGTCAATGAAAGGTTTTGTGGGAGAGGCCATGTTTTCTCCCCTGTCAGAAGATAATTGGCTTTGCAATATGCTACCAGTTTGACCTTGAGCATCTCACTTCATCTCTCTGGGACCTGTTGTGTGGAAGCCCAGAGAAATAGATTCAGAGCCAATCATCTCTGCTCCCCCTGTCAACCATGGTGGCCCCTAAGGGCTCCTCAGATCACAGTGAGCACCCAGCCTCAAATCATGCTAAGGTCTTTTTTTTCAGTCTAACAGTCTCTAAGTCAGCTAGACTTTTTGGTAAGGATCAGAGGGTCCTACCTTGGGTCCTTCTTGGCCTTATTATTTCTCCTGCCTCTATTCTTCCTACCTCAGCAAGATGTACAGAAATTCTCAGACAATGACAAGCTGTATCTCTACCTTCAGCTCCCCTCAGGGCCCAGTACTGGAGATAAAAGGTATGTTTGGTGCTAGACTCTTAGATGTCAGAGATTCTGATTTTTAAAAAATAAACTGATTGTTTTATTTGGCACCTTGGTTCTTGATGCATTGTGAGAGGCTCTGATTCTTAAAGGCTCGCTGGGAAAGGGTGGGTGAATAGGAATCCTCATAACGGCTGTCCTTGATCCAAAAGAAAAAGTCCCTGACCTGTACTGGTTTACCAGAGAAAGGTGGATTCTGAGGGAAGTGATTTGGTCCAGCACTACCGCCGAAGTGATAGTCTGGATAGAACCAGGACAACTATTGGGAACTTAGTAATGGTTTTCTCTGTTACTCTCTTGCAGCTCAGAGCCAAGTACACTTAGCAATGAGGAGTACATGTATGCCTACAGGTGGATCCGCAACCACCTAGAAGAGCATACTGACACCTGTCTGCCAAAGCAAAGTGTTTATGATGCCTATCGGTGGGTGGATGCAGGGAGTGGAAGGGTGCGTGGGTGGGCACAGGACCACCCCTTACCCTTGCAGAGCTCCCTGCCTTGATAGAGCCTGACTTCTTAAAAAGGCTTTCCCAAACTTGATCCCCAGGGACCCTCTAAACCCACCCATGACCTTCTTCTCTGAGTTTCTTCTCATTCTGCACCCCCCCCCCACAGGAAGTATTGTGAGAGCCTCGCTTGTTGCCGCCCACTCAGCACAGCCAACTTTGGCAAAATCATCAGAGAGATCTTCCCTGACATCAAGGCCCGAAGGCTTGGTGGCCGGGGGCAGTCCAAGTATCCTTGACTGGTTGGGGCTGGAGGACCTGGGAAGGAAAACTTACGGATGCGGAGACCCAGGAGTGGAAACAGCCCAACCTCCCTTAAGGGGCTTGGAAAGCCCCATATGTTGGTTTCTCCTTAAATCCCATCAGATATTGCTACAGTGGCATACGAAGAAAGACCTTGGTATCTATGCCACCCTTGCCTGGCCTTGACTTAAAGGGCTCTGAGAGTGTAAGTAACAGACAACCCTGTGATTGCAC